TAAAATGCGAATGTGATCTGTAATGTAAGTAGGCCCTGTGTGTCGTAAAGCGTGATTATTTCATTATTTATAATTATCAAACTAAATTGATCAGAACCATTTGTATCTGCAACCGACCAGAAATGATCACCAAAAGAAGCTTTATTTTGTTTTGGCTTTTGTTGGGCACTTATCAGGTTGCATGAGTTTTATGAATACTTAAAATAAAACAAACTTAAATTACGTAAAAATATATTGCTTTGGGTTAAGAATATATAAGAATATATGATATAATATATATATATATCATATAACATTATATATATATATATATATATATATATATATATATATATATATATATATATATATATAAGGTGAAAATTTGCTCGTTTTGTCCCTTATGACTTCATCGGACTAACGGGGTGAAACGCGTCAATATATACACTACTGGTCAAACATTTGACGCCACCCATGGCAATTTTTTTAAAATTGTCCCCCAAAGTAGTTGTTTTGTACTTTAAGAGACAATTATTATACATGGTTAAAAAAAGCGAGACATGATTGTTTTTATTGGAAATTTTATTATGACAAAAAGAAAAAAGCATTTTATGATTAAATTTTGCTCTCGTCAAAATATCCTCCTTTAGTCTTGATTACTGCAGCACAAATTTTTGGCATTCGTGACAAAAGTTTCTGAAAGTTTGATAATTGATTCCATTCTTTTTTCAATGAGTCTAAGAGCATTTTCCATTTCTTTTTTTTACTCTTCTGTCAAGTTTATGTCATGCTAATTCTGGAGTGGGTTTCAAACTTTTGAACTGTAGCGTATATTATATCAATATTAACCCAAAGTAATAGATGGTTGTGTCCTTACGTTTGTTTTATTTTCGCTATAGTAATACTATATATATCACATATAATATATGGTGATACTACAACGTGTGCCCTAAGCCGACGTCTGTCGTCAATGGACTTGAGTGATCGGTTTACCGTTTTGCTAAAACCTCGTATTAAATGATACTAGAAAGACCTGTGATAATTTCACAGTTTTCCTATTTGCATTTTCTGGTGAATCTTAATTCTTAAGTATTAAATAAGTTCATGGTGAGTTCTACAGCAAATAAAATGTCCGTAGAAATTTCCCTATCGCATCGTTGAATATTTTTTAATGTGTTGGGGCTTATAGTCTAGCCAATTTTATTTAGTTTATTTTGTTTATATGTTTATTACTTTTGTTATTAAGTATTTCATATTATGATAGTAGAAGGTCTGCCAAGTAAGGTGACATGTTGTAAGAATCTTGACACGAATTTACTGTGGATGATCTAGAAATTAAAACACCTTCTATATATTTTCGTAAATTATTTTCTCTTTTAATTAAAGTAGTATTTTTTAAAATCGAAATTATGGTTAGACTCATTACAGTGAGAAATTAATGCGTTTAATGTGTTGTTTTGTAAAATATCCCTTTTGTGTTCATATAATCTTACAGTTAAATTCCTCTAGTATATAAAAAATTATATATCATTTTCTTTCATACCAATTATTACATTTTTTACATGTACACTTATATGACATATATCACAATACAATCAAAACCAATCTTTTTTTTTTAAATGTAGTTACTTAAAACTAAGCGCTCCTAATGCCATCTAAGAACAACCCACACATAAGAATTTTTGGTCAACCTAATAGTTAAATGTTCACCACTACTGTCAGAAGTTCTGCTTTCGAGTCAATTCTTTCCATTAAAGCAGAGTATATGACTTTTCAGTACAACCAGGAAATCAAACCTGTTTCAATGAAGGCTTTAATCCACTAGGCAATATGTCTCTTGGAGAATCTAAGATGCTGCGGCCTTAGACCTAATGTCTGTTCTCGGGTGGTGGGATTCTGTTAATGTCCTGATTCAGGTGGTGGACCTAAACATATGGCCAGTTGGGTTCCGACATATATCGACAGGAAGAAAGCATACTTATGTGATCACCATCATCTCCAGTAATCGCAAACATATATATTAAATACTTGAGGAAACGATTATAGAAACGTCACCACTAAAGCCAACTATTTGGCTTAGATACACACATAACATTTTCATAATCTGGTTTGACTAGGAAAATGTGCAAATAATGGTGCGAACTCAATAAGACAGCTCACAATGAACCTGTCCTTCCACAGTGCTCAATCGTCACTTTCCAGACTTGATAGTGTACAAAAGAGTCTGGATGATGAATTATTTTCCACCTTAAAACCTCTTTTCCAACAGACGAAACGTTGCTAGCTTCTCTCTACTCTTTATTTCCATGGCAAATGTTCAGATGAGATACCTTCCATATTTCCACCAGTTCAGACATTTACAGCCAGAACCCGTCATGTGACATACCCAAGGTCGAATCATTCCCTTCTGTGTTCCATTGGCAAGGAGACAATTCCACAAACAGCTTCTACCTAATAACTGTTACTTTGCAGAACAGACTCCCAAGAGGATGCTTCCCAGATTATTAAGATCTTATCTAGGGTCAGTCATTATCTATCCTACATGTTCTTGTAATCTGCACTTCCCCTCTTATACACTTCAAACAGCCTCTCTCTTCAATGGATCCTAGGCCTTGTATTGTGTGAACAATAGTATATACAAGAAAAGAACTCGACAAGTGATATAGAGGCGAATAAGACTAGGGCTTACGGCCTCATTACGTTGAAACAACGATTCCCGTTCGATTACTGAGGTTAGCAACATCGAGCCTGGTCAGTACCTAGATGAGTGACCGCCTGGAATACCAGGTGCTGTAAGGTTGGATGTACGGTTGGTATAATGGATAATGGCTCGAATTGTTAATCGGAGAGCTGGGTTCCAGTTCACGTTGACTTAAGTGCAAATACCCTTGGGAGAGGTAGAATCCACCTCTTTATCACCAGCTATGGTTTAATTAGTAAGACTTGTATCACTAAAATATCCTCCTTTAGTCTTGATTACTGCAGCACAAATTTTTGGCATTCGTGACAAAAAGTTTCTGAAAAGTTTGATAATTGATTCCATTCTTTTTTTCAATGAGTCTAAGAGCATTTTCCATTTTTTTTTACTCTTCTGTCAAGTTTATGTCATGCTAATTCTGGAGTGGGTTTCAAACTTTTGAACTGTAGCGTATATTATATCAATATTAACCCAAAGTAATAGATGGTTGTGTCCTTACGTTTGTTTTATTTTCGCTATAGTAATACTATATATATCACATATAATATATGGTGATACTACAACGTGTGCCCTAAGCCGACGTCTGTCGTCAATGGACTTGAGTGATCGGTTTACCGTTTTGCTAAAACCTCGTATTAAATGATACTAGAAAGACCTGTGATAATTTCACAGTTTTCCTATTTGCATTTTCTGGTGAATCTTAATTCTTAAGTATTAAATAAGTTCATGGTGAGTTCTACAGCAATAAAATGTCCGTAGAAATTTCCCTATCGCATCGTTGAATATTTTTTTAATGTGTTGGGGCTTATAGTCTAGCCAATTTTATTTAGTTTATTTTTGTTTATATGTTTATTACTTTTGTTATTAAGTATTTCATATTATGATAGTAGAAGGTCTGCCAAGTAAGGTGACATGTTGTAAGAATCTTGACACGAATTTACTGTGGATGATCTAGAAATTAAAACACCTTCTATATATTTTCGTAAATTATTTTTTTCTTTTAATTAAAGTAGTATTTTTTAAAAATCGAAATTATGGTTAGACTCATTACAGTGAGAAATTAATGCGTTTAATGTGTTGTTTTGTAAAATATCCCTTTGTGTTCATATAATCTTACAGTTAAATTCCTCTAGTATATAAAAAAATTATATATCATTTTCTTTCATACCAATTATTACATTTTTTACATGTACACTTATATGACATATATCACAATACAATCAAAACCAATCTTTTTTTTTTTTTTTTTAAATGTAGTTACTTAAAAAAACTAAGCGCTCCTAATGCCATCTAAGAACAACCCACACATAAGAATTTTGGTCAACCTAATAGTTAAATGTTCACCACTACTGTCAGAAGTTCTGCTTTCGAGTCAATTCTTTCCATTAAAGCAGAGTATATGACTTTTCAGTACAACCAGGAAATCAAACCTGTTTCAATGAAGGCTTTAATCCACTAGGCAATATGTCTCTTGGAGAATCTAAGATGCTGCGGCCTTAGACCTAATGTCTGTTCTCGGGTGGTGGGATTCTGTTAATGTCCTGATTCAGGTGGTGGACCTAAACATATGGCCAGTTGGGTTCCGACATATATCGACAGGAAGAAAGCATACTTATGTGATCACCATCATCTCCAGTAATCGCAAACATATATATTAAATACTTCGAGGAAACGATTATAGAAACGTCACCACTAAAGCCAACTATTTGGCTTAGATACACACATAACATTTTCATAATCTGGTTTGACTAGGAAAATGTGCAAATAATGGTGCGAACTCAATAAGACAGCTCACAATGAACCTGTCCTTCCACAGTGCTCAATCGTCACTTTCCAGACTTGATAGTGTACAAAAGAGTCTGGATGATGAATTATTTTCCACCTTAAAACCTCTTTTCCAACAGACGAAACGTTGCTAGCTTCTCTCTACTCTTTATTTCCATGGCAAATGTTCAGATGAGATACCTTCCATATTTCCACCAGTTCAGACATTTACAGCCAGAACCCGTCATGTGACATACCCAAGGTCGAATCATTCCCTTCGTGTTCCATTGGCAAGGAGACAATTCCACAAACAGCTTCTACCTAATAACTGTTACTTTGCAGAACAGACTCCCAAGAGGATGCTTCCCAGATTATTAAGATCTTATCTAGGGTCAGTCATTATCTATCCTACATGTTCTTGTAATCTGCACTTCCCCCTCTTATACACTTCAAACAGCCTCTCTCTTCAATGGATCCTAGGCCTTGTATTGTGTGAACAATAGTATATACAAGAAAAGAACTCGACAAGTGATATAGAGGCGAATAAGACTAGGGCTTACGGCCTCATTACGTTGAAACAACGATTCCCGTTCGATTACTGAGGTTAAGCAACATCGAGCCTGGTCAGTACCTAGATGAGTGACCGCTCTGGAATACCAGGTGCTGTAAGGTTGGATGTACGGTTGGTATAATGGATAATGGCTCGGAATTGTTAATCGGAGAGCTGGGTTCCAGTTCACGTTGACTTAAGTGCAAATACCCTTGGGAGAGGTAGAATCCACCTCTTTATCACCAGCTATGGTTTAATTAGTAAGACTTGTATCACTAAACCATTATTAACTCAAAAAAAATTCTTACAATCTAAAAATATTTCCAGTTCCTTGCAAGATTGAGAACACCAAAACGGTCATTTTCATTACCACCAGCCCGCACCATTCAAATTGTTATCCATTTGGGGATGTGCCTCAGTTGCACCCAATTATTGTTACTAATATTGATTTTCGGGTGGGTTGACTTTAAAACTTAAACTGCTCCAATTGAACGGCAAAATTAACCAGTAATGAAACACCCGGTCGAAGACGGTTTATACTGCTAGTATATATATATAAAATAGAAAGTTTCGTTCCGTTAAAATCTCGAGGGTTTAAAATCGGACATGTTAGTTTATTTACGTCTATTTGAATTAATCGCTTAAAGGTAATTTTGATTAGTTATGTCTTTTTATGCGTTAATTGGAACTGTTAAATAGTATTGTATATTTTCCCTCGTTTTTTTTTTTTTATCTCGAGTGAAAAGTTTTGAAAAATCCAATCGTGACTGAAGCACTTAGGCATTTTCCACCGGCCCCTAAGTGGTAATCCACCTTAGTACCTATCTAGTTCATCAATGCTGAACTGTAATCAGGCAGAAACTGGTGCTTTCGGAGTGACTTGACCATGCGCCACAGGCGTCTATAATGTTCGACACGCTATCACATACGCATACATGTGCTCACATGACTCACGGCGGACACGTGTCAGAACGTGCTATTTACTGTCAGTGCGGCGTTGAAACCGCGAATAAAATACACCACGATTTACTTAACAGAGCGGAAAGAAATAATACGAGAATATGGATCCTTTTGGTCACTTCCTGCTTTTCATCCCACCCCATCTATTCCTCTCTCACTCGGGCCTCATCACCTGGACAAAGAGGCAGCCGCCGAGGGAACGAACACCGTCGCCATTGCTCTCCGTTTAAACTGATCTGCTGATCTCTGCTACTTCGTGTGTACCCGCAACCCCAATAAACAAAGCTCAATTTTCATATCTCAGAAGCTGGAACAACAGGTCATGTGCTCAACGAAACAATTACATATATATATATATATATATATATATATATGTGTGTGTGTGTGTGTGTGTGTGTGTGTGTGTGTGTGTGTGTGTGTGTGTGTGTGTGTGTGTGTGCGCGCGCGCGAGATTAATGACAAAATGGAAAAGGATCGTTTCGTGTTTCGTTTCGAGTAGGTACTTCTTCAAACTAATAGCAGTTTTATGGAGGGAGTTAGTCTTATATATATATATATATATATATATATATATATATATATATATATATATATATATATATATATATATATACATACATACATACATACATGATAAAATATAGTTTCAATGTATGGTACATATGTATGTATGATAAAATATAGTTCCAACGTATGGTATATATACATATATATATATATTAAAACAAGTAAATGATTTGTCCCTTAGCTAACTGATGTTACCTTCAGCATCCCGACTTCAGAGTTTCGTAAACGGACCCTCCGTGAATCAATCAGTCCACTCGTCAAAGGGTATCAGTAATTGACTGCTTATACTTCTCGATTTTTCTTTTTATATGGTCTTTCCATTGGTTCAAGTTTGTTTTATCTTTTCATAGTGTATGTTTGCGTTCGCCAGCGCGTAGGGTGTCAATCTCGTATATATATATATATATATATATATATATATATATATATATATATAAGGTGGGAGGAAGGTAAAATAAATACACCAAACGCGTGTTACTATTTACATCGAAACGTTAAAGATGCAGAGATGATGAGCTTTAGATTTAAATTTTTACGTCCAAGATATCGAGACGTCTTAGTCTACCTCTTCAATTTTTTTCTCGCTGTTGTTTTTAGTTTTCCCACATTGTATCAGTAATCGTTTTGTAAGGAAAGGAAATACGTTGCATGAGCCTGGACGTAAATTTACGGCAGGTGAGTTGGAAATTAGTGCACTTTCAATAGATTTTCACCTTAAAATTCCGTTCCGTAAGTACAAAAAGGTCAGATTTATGTCGACGTAAGATTAATTAATGCGTCGAGTGTATTGCTTTTGCGAAAGATTACTTTTATGTTCCTATAATCTTTTATTTAAATTTCGAGTTGTTTCACCTTTGTATTTATTGTACGTTTTTGGCATTTATTTTGTAAATTCCTCCTTCAGTCGTGACAGAAATATCTAAACTTTTCAAATCAAATTTCGAATAATAACTACGTGTTAGGTTAGGAATTTATTGATCCACTCTCGTATATTGAATTGATATTGTCGATGATAATAATAATAATAATAATAATAAGAAGAAGAAGAAGAAGAAGAAGAAGAATCTGTCCTAAAAAAAAACAAAAGAAGGGATCCTATAATAGGAACTGAAAACCGTGCATATTCAACGTGGGCGAGATTTTTGTGGGTGTTAGTCTGTTTTGGTGAAAGCTAATAAAACTAAACAGAAATTTTAAATTTAATATTCTGTTTTATGTTCTATAGTGAAGTTACTTTGAGAAACAGATCATTACAGATATGGACATTATATGTCAGTAGTAGAGTACTTGCTTAATAAGATATATTTTATATACAAAATACACTTCATGGCCATATACTTAAGCGAATAGTACTCCAAGTTAGGTTTTACTTGACCCTGGGTTAATGTAATCATCAACGTCGGTTTTATATTTTCCAGTTGCACACACATAATGAAAGCACTTATATAATTTAGGCGCCTGGGCGTGAGGTAATGGTTAACAAGGTTAGTCTGATTGACCACCGATACTAATGAGTAGTGGATTCTATCCTCACTAAATGCTCCTTACAAAATTTGCCATTAAATAATCGGATGTTATGAAGAGTACAACTGGAAAGTGTGGACATTGCTTCATTTACAATCATTCCATCTGTTCAATTACAATACGTATGGTCGTGGCTCAGTAGGATATACGGGGGTCGGCTGAAAGTTCAAAGGCTAACCAAGATATAAATGTAAATCGACACACCAGTTAGTAGACTAAAAGACGTGCAAGTGGGCTGGAATACAACCTCGAGCCGACCAGCTGCTATATTTTGGTACACTTGTACGCCTTTTAGTCTACCAACTGGTGCATCTAGTTACATTTATATCTTGCTCAGTCTATGCTCTTTTCAGACGACCCTCGTAGGGTATGTATAAGGGTAACACCTAAAACGTTTAATTATGAAAATTAAACGAATGATTAGCAGAATTTAATTTGAATTAAATCGAACAATAATTTATTATAATAAAGAATTAAATAAAATATATCCTAGTAGCAAACATTAAAATAAGTCTGTTATTTGATGTAGCATGCCTGTCCTGTCTTCATACATCAATAAAGGCTTTGTGAAAGAGAATTGCGAATTTCCTAAAATAGAGAAAATTCAGGTCCAGACTTGAACGAATGGAATCATTGTTTAGTGCTTAGTAAGCTAAACATTGTTGCAAGATTTTAGAATGGAAGGACACGCGTAATAGTTTTGGAGCAATATTTAACGACTACCTTTGTTCGTTTGTTTGTTTAGGGGCATATCAACTCCTTATGGGTCATTTCATACCGAAATTTAATTTTCTTAGCTGCATTAGTAATTTCTTTTACAACAATGTGTTGCTGGTAGTATTTTTATTTTTTACAAAAATATATTGCTCGTATTTTTTTACTATGAAAATGTATTGCTGGTATTTTTACTACAAAATTTGTAATGTTTTCATAGTGTTTTGGCCCCAGTTTGTATTTTAACTATTTGCCCATAGCTAGGACCCTACCAGGTGCTACCACCCGTGTCCTGAGAACAACAACAATTAACAGGTGGTTCCACGCTCTTCAAAACCTCCCGATTAGAGGCCTTACTGCCGGATGTAGTTTATCGTTATACTCAGGGCGGTAGAGACTACGTCATGGCGCAAAAGTGGGTGTAAGTGTATCGTGATTTACTAAGTATAGCTTAAATGTGACAAAAGGCCGGAAGTAATGAGCACCCAGTGTGGATAGAACTCACTACACAAGCATAATTTATCTAGCGAGGCAAGCTTTATAACCATCACACCACATCGAAGTGTCCATGAGTGTAAGTGTATATGTGTAGTTGTAAGTATTGGCACGTAGCTAAGTGGCCAGAACGTGGTCATTTTATAAGTAAGGCGCCGACGTGGTTGTGAAAGATAAATTTTCTTCAAATTTTCACAAACCTTACAGGTTCTATATTTTAAATAATATTTTTACATGGCTAGTGCTAACAAAGTATATAATTGTACAAGATTGAAATGTTTAGGAGCGGTAGATCTGTCAAAAGTCTGAGCATCGTAAAAATTTCATAGAGATTTGTCAGACTGCTTTCTTAGAAGTCTCAAAAATATGTAAATATTCTTAATCATATCAGAAGGGGGTGACACGTAAAATCAATTAACCAATCAGATATATAACTATTATATTCTATATTTTTTTGTGATGTCAACAAACACTTGTCACTTTCGTAATGCTCGTTGTAGTAGAGACTTTGTAATCGCAGATACAACTATAGTAACGCTGTTGAACAATACTGGTGTCAGACGCCTTCGAATAACACTCACACTAATAGTACTTGCTCGATAATACTGGCTCGAAAAGTAACCACCTAATAGTAATCCGAATAGTAATCCGTATAGTGATCAGTATAGAGAAATAGTATAGTGAATAGTATAGAGATAGAGGATAGTTTAGAAATAATGATCTAAATAGAGGATAGACTAGAAATGGGGATCTGTATTCAAACGAAGTGTCGGCAGCGACACTTTATTCCTATATAACAATTTCATATTAACATAGTTATGGATCTTGTCGGTGTCAAAAATCTACCTTAAAGTGACCT